GGGGGGGGGGGGGGCTGACTGTAGCACAGTGAGGCATTACTTTTACCTACAGTTCACACTGGGTCTAGTTCAGTGTTAAATGGCACCTGGCCCCAGGAAAGCTGTGGGTACTGCATTGTTCCCTGAAGAAAGCTGGAAGGGGAAAATGTTGCTCAAATGAGAGGGAGAAAAAGGAAACACTGACTATGAAAGATGTATTTTGAAAGCTGGAGGAATTTAATTGATACAAAGAGATCCTGGAGATACAATATTCTTTATTTTATTAATGACTCCGACCTTGAGGAAAGGTTACGTATAATTAACTTACCACTTGTTATAAAACTCTTAAGGAAAGCATTCCTTATTATTAGTCATAGCCAATAGAATATTAAGTATTACGTCTCTTTCCATCATTTGGAATTAGTCCATTACACACAGAATTAAATGCAGAAGACATTGGAGGATTTAAAACACATTTTACTCATTAAAATTTATTGTAAATGAGGATATGTCTCTTAATGATTTCTCAAATGCCTACAGTTCAGTTATCAACTAATCTAAAAATGCTTTCTGCATCACTGAATGGAGCAGGTCCAAATTAAATAGAATTAAAAACAACAATAGAAACGTGTTATGAAAGGAGACTTGTTACCATGCTTTTAAACCGAGAAAATCTTTTGATACCTCTAAAATACTGAAATATTTTCTCAGCTTTCAGTAAATATAATAGGAATAAATGACCTTGCAAGATAAGCTAGTGGAAGGAGAAATGATTAAGAAAAGCTCATACATGTGCCTGGCATAAACAAATTCATCAAAACCTTGCGATACTGATTTACTCTGGGATGTGATTTTCTCAGTGTTTGCCCACTCCGCATGTCCAGTCTTTTACTTTGCCCAGTCCTGCTTCTGTTCAATTGGCCATTAACTCATTTATTTTGGTCTTAAAAGTAGCATACAGTAGATTGATTTTTGATAGCCGTGTTCAGAGGTGAATTTGTATCAGTCAGATATCCCCTTTAGGGTTTTGGGTCGCAATACCAGCGGAGTTAGCAGCCATCCCCCCTTAGATCCTGAGGTTTCAGAGTGAGAACATACTTGGAGTGTTATGGTTTGAACCCGCAACTCCTACCAGAAAACAATTTTGTGTGTAATCTCAGCATTTTCCATGGAATTGAGCGAGTTAACCGTGTTACAGCATGAGTAAAAGATTCACAGCCGGACCACAGAGACAAGATAAGATTTGGACGTTATGGTTTACTTGCTTGTTTCCCCTGTGTTTGTCTGCATTAGTACAGAACTGCGCTTTTTTTTTTTTTTTCCGACTAAATTATCTTATAACAGATACATCGGGATCAGAGAGGTCAGTGGAGATGTGCACTTTTTTATGCTTAGTAGTCTGTCTTTATGAAAACAGTACCCTAATTTTTTTTTTTGGGGGGGGGGGGGTGAATTCTATCTCAACATTTGATTTAAATAATGATTTTTAACAAATCAGATTAACTTTCTCCTAATATTAGATGTGGCAGGATATCCTCTCAGACAGGCTAATGAAGTAAGAATTGTGCGTATTTTCCTCATTTCCTACAGATACTATTAAAATCCCAATGTACTAATGGACTTTTAATGATACAATATCCTAGTACTTGTAAGGGGTTTTTTTCCACTTAAGCAGTAGTTTTCTGAGTCTTATTTGGCTCAGTATTCTTTCTTTTCTCTTGAAATGGTTTGCAAACTGAAACCATTTCAAAATTTCTATCCATTTTAAAACTTAATATTGAAGGGGGGGGAAATAACAAATCTTTCTTACACTATGATGGCCTAATCCAGGGGACAGGTTGCTGCTTTATGATTTTGGAACTGCTTTTAAGCTCTAAACATCATGACATTTGTGAACATTTCATTGACTGCTGTAACTAACATTGTTGCAATGAGATCACTTCTTCAATGCTTCTCAGTTTTCTCCATGTACCATTTCCCTAATATTATGCAGGAATGCTTTCTCTGTTTTGTTCAACTACCTGTCTCCATTCTGACATGCCCTTGTATTTATGTTGTTCTGTCTTTTTGTTACAGCTGTTTCACTCCTATCCTCCAGCTGTATCAGGTATTCCTCCTATGATTCCTCCAACTGGCCCCTTTGGCTCACTACAAGGAGCATTTCAACCCAAGGTAAGAAATACACTGGTGATTTGAGCCAGGTGAGGTTTAGGGTTAGCATGTGGTTCAGATTCTGGAGCAACTGAGAACTGAATTGCAGCCTAATTCCATGGAGGACAATTGGCTTTTTCCAAATTTACTACAAAGAGAAGTTTTTTCTCACTAGGTTCAGATATATCTACATACATTAAAAAAAAAAATAATGGCATGGTTAACTTTAGAAGCAATATAATTAGTTCTCAGTACTCATTAATGTAAGGTCATGTAATAATCAAGATTTTAAGAAATCATGATCGTTATTGTTTACTCATTTCCATAATTATCTCACAGCTCCACCACAATGCAATACACTGATTTATTTCCCTCATTTGCAATAGGTAGGGTAGATAAATGTGATGAGTTGGGGTTTTTTTTTTCTTTTGTTTTCATGAAGTCACTCTTGATTTGTAAGTGGGAGCAAATCACAGTCTGTAATCCATGGTCTTTGCAACTAAAGACTGAAATCAGGACTGAAATTTCTGCAGAGAAGACACCTTCTTTCTTAAATTGGCCCATCCACTGTAATGACTGAATATGTAAATTACAGTTCATTAGTGGAATTCTTTGTATATATGGTAATCAGACTGTTAACAACTCTGTTACTTAATTGTTAGTTATACTGTAGCTGATTTCTTTTTTTCTTCATTTTAACATAGGAAGAATCTCTGTCTAGATGTAAATTTTGTGGGTTTTTTTTTCCCACAAAGCTGCATTTTGTAATATTAGCTGAATATTTACATTCAGATCGTGGGAAAAGCTTTAATGTTTTTCGACTGGATGTTGCCTTTTCCTGATACCCGTATGGTAACAGTTCATTGTGGATGGCATTCAGATCCTTGTCCGGTGACTGAAGCGATTGCTGATGCTGTGTGTGCCGACAGTCAGGTTAGCAGTTTTAGCCAGTTCCAGTGTGTTATTGATAAGCAGCAGAGCACATCGAGCTTGGTCCTCCACGTACCACTTTAGATGCCGTATCATAAGTATGTTGCTAATCGGGTTTTTGATAGTGGAAGGATTTTTGAGTGTAAACAGTCACTCATGTTTTAGATTAAAGTAATGGAAAGTTGGTAGACAGCGAAAGTTTGAAAATTGAGATGACAGTACGTATATTAGTAAGTGGATTATAATGGTTATCCTTTCCTCCTTAAAAAGTTTCTTTTCATTGTGTAGGCAATGTTAATGATAAAGAAGTATTATTTTTCACTTTCTGTTCCTTTTCTGCATTGTGTTACTCATTAACGCTGTCTTTCCTTATGGTATTTCTAGACTTCCAATCCTATTGATGTTGCAGCCAGACCTGGAACTGTCCCACATACCCTTCTACAGAAAGATCCACGGGTCTGTAGAAAATGTTACTTTTTTTTTTCACGTAAAGCTATTCCTCCAGAAAACCTTGAACGCTAGAGCTACCCTGTTCAGTATGTTCAAATTAACATCCTCAAACTAAAGCTTAGTCTGAACTGTTTAAGTCAATGAGAACTAGAGAAGTTTTATGAGAACAATTTAAATCCTGATCCTTACTTCTGTTCATCATTAGCAAAAGCACATAGATGCTATGCAGCGGAAGAGCTCTTTCCTTGCTGTCAGCAGGCATCCCCACAAGCCAGGGGTAAAAGCATAAAAGTCCAATTCAGGGTAGAAATGTACAAACCTCTTCAAGATTTATGTTTATACTCTGTAATTGTTTTTAATGTGGGTAAGGACAGTTATTCCCTTGGTTACTGTATCATTGATTGCACCAGTGAAATACGGATGCACTTCACTGATTGCTTGGCGCCTCTGGATTTTTGAGTTCTGGCATATGTGAACAGCATTTATTGTCTTAGCACTTTGTCTCTCAGCTTTTTTCTGTTCTTTGCAAATGCCCGTGGGTTGTTTGCGTGTTTGAATTAATATACAGTGTTTGCAATGAGGAACATGATGCAGTTGTATTTGTAGCAGAACTCTCTGACAAAAGCAATGGGGAGCTCTCCTTAAAAATCCCTATTGTGGTATGGCTAAACTTTTAAGTACAGCAGAGCTGTTTTCTTCGGGTTTTGCCAAGTTCCAGTAGTTTGGTTTGCTCTGAATTGGTGCTATAGTTGAGCTTTATACCAAAAGGAACCATGTTTTTCCATTTCTGTTTATTTTATCTAATTAAAAAGATAACTAGAGCCTCCCATCTTCAAGTCATTTAGCTTTATGCTCCCTTTCAACTTGTAGTGTAGTTTCGATTATTTCAAGATGATGTATTATGCCATCACTGTGTCTGCAATGTACCTCTTACACCTATAAATCTCCTTTAGTATTGCATTTCAAAAAGGAAGTTCCAAAACAAATGAGAAATACCCAATAAATTGAATTTATTTTCCAGCATTAATTGATGAAATATGAGCAAAAAAGGAGAATAAGAAAATAATTACCAAAAAAAAACAGGCCACACAAAAAATAATAATGAGAAAATTGTGGATTTTATACAGCCCCTGTTTAGCGACATTTGTTGCAGAGTGAAAAATATTTAAGGCAAAGCCCATTTGTGACAGAGGACGCATCAGACAAGCAGTCAGTTGGTAATGGCTGTTGGAGTGTAAGAGGCAAGGACCTAATGCCATAGCTGTTGAGCGGACAGAGGCGCTGGTTTGCAGGGGCACGTCTGAAACACCATTCCATCCTGTTCCAGCCCAATTAGCGGGCTCAAGCCTGTGAAAAACGGACCCTGTCCACGATCCAATCTTCTCGCTAGCCGAGCAGCTTTGAAAGATAAGAACAGAAGTTTGCCCAAAGGATAGATCTGTGTTTTTCTTCAGAGTAGTTAACCATCCATTTTTGTAGCATTAAATCAACAAATTAATGATGATGCCAGAGGACAGAGTGCTCTGTGAGGCTTGTTTAGTTGCTTGTCAACACTTAGGTACAACAGCCATGGGGGGAGGGAAACCAACTCAAATACGGAGGCTAAGGACTAATTATTATCCAAAAGGGCTTCATTTGAAAGTAAAATTATAACATTTTAATTTCATCTCTTAATGAAGCAATACAAATCTGTTAATTAGAGCAATTGTTTGAGTGACAGGCATGTAACCAAGCTGTCATTTCTTCTTCACAGTTGACAGATCCGTTCAGGCCTATGTTGAGGGTAAGAAATCTTCTTGTGATACAGTTTGTCAAGCTCATCTCAGTTCCCACCGGGTTAAAGCAGCAGCCTAATTATAAAGCAACGCCATGTTTCATCTTGGGTATTTTACACCGTGTTTGCTGACCAGCATGGTCAGTCTTTTCTTTGTGTACATCTTGTGGTCACTCGAGGAAAATACACAGTTTCAAGTCTGGAAGTTTTTTGTTCTTCTCATGCAACCCCCTGGCATGGATAGTAGAGGTTAAATATCAATTATCCTATTGCAGTGGCTTACAAGGTTTCCTGAGCAAACTCCTGGAGACCTACCCTGGTAGTGATCTCCCATCATTTCACTGCAGACTGAAGGATTTTACTTTTTATTATTTACTGTACATTTGGTTATTTAGTATGGTACTTCCTGCCCACATATCTTACTGTCAAATACAGACAGACAATCCACTTGAAACACAAAATAATTTTAGAAATTTATTTTAGATTTAAGGATGAAAAGTCTTTCAGTGATCCAAAAGAGTATTTTTGTTAATTTTTCAACATGTTCACGTAGGTCTAGATTTTGATTGAACCAACCAAGTGAACTTACTGAATCACTAGCACAGCCAGCTGCTGTGGATAAGCAAAAGACTTGAGTATAGGGGAGTATGTGTGTGTGAGACGAGTTTTATTTTTTTGTGTGTTTTTAATTGTTGGTTGATAGACACCTAGAAATAGAAGGCCAGACCATATGCCATAGTTTGTAAAACATTTAAGGTACCAGTAGCCCGAGGAGCTTCTTGAATTCCTGTGATTATTTTTAAATCTGCAGGAATCATTAGTTGTGTAGTTAACTACAGACCCCTAAATAACAAAATTGGAGAACATATATCCTGAATGAGTCTTTTTCAGACAAGATTTCCAGACATCCCAGAAACGAGTACAAAATCAATAAGAAAACCCAAATAGCATTCTGGTTCTTTCCTCCCTCTGTTCTTCCCCATGACTTAAAAGCATGGTGACAGGAAGGACGTAAAGAGCCTTCCCAAACACAGTGAATCAACTGACCTTCAATTTTTTCAGTATCTTTATGAGCCAAAGTTTTGGAGGTACAGACAGTTATACAGCAATTATATGAGGGAATCAGATTCATTTTGAAAACCAGAGTGATCTTTTAAAGTGTTTTCATTTTCATCCTTTGGTGGAAAGGTTGGTCTTAGAATAGCTCCACATTCAGAAGTGAGCTCAGCATACAGTTGTGAAGCAATCCAGCTGTGCCGAGCAGCTGAGCAGCTGCTAACTGGAAGACAGTTTCATTGACTGCAGCAACACAAGCTGCATTCTCAGCCAGTGGCAAGATTAAAAGAATGCATAAAACCAAAACCTGAGCATGAGTTTATTTGGAGAGGAGAGTGACAAGGAGCATTCCTGAACAGCCAGACAAACTTCTTAGCAAGGGACAAATTCTTTGTTTTCAGTTGTCTTGGTGTGGGGAATCCCCAGACCAAACCAGACTGGGCTAAGGGTTGGTAGGAGTTGCTAGGAGTAGAATAAAGAATCACAGGTTTTTGAAAGTTACTGATTCATGTTGTATCCTTTCATTTTTTCCAGAAACCTGGAAAGTGGTGCGCTATGCATGTTCACATCGCCTGGCAGATATACCATCACCAACAGAAAGTCAAGGTCAGTCTTTTGGGCACTGCTGAATTTCAAATGTATTGCACAGTGCAAACCTGTGAGAGGAAGAGTTTGCCTCTTGCTGTTAGCAGTGCTATGCCGTGGCTAACCTAAAGGTAGAATCTCAAAGGAATGTCTGTGATGCCTCAGAGCAAGGACACCAGATCTTGGGCAATAACAAGTTTCACAGAATCACGGAGTCATCTAGGTTGGAAACGACCTTGAAGATCACCAAATCCAACCATAGTTTGTAGCTAGGAAGAGCTAAATGGGTGTGCCTGTGAGCTACGGCATTGCTTTTATTTGCAGCTGAGGACACAAACATACCAAATTAACATTCACGGACAGAATTGGGCACAGAAAGATTTCTCTTGTCCCTAAGATGCTTTATCCGGTGTGGCTGCACAGACTCCCATCAGTCATTTTTCACAACCCATCTCATAGCTGGAGGTTGGCACCTCTACGTGTCTGGGCTGGTCAGGCAGCAACGGCCTCTCAGATGAAGTAATGTTATCCAGACACTGTCTCACTGCACCGAAGGTAAAGGGTGGAAATCTTGTGTTCATTATGCATGCTTTGAGACTGCAAGGGTAAGAGCCATGGCCAGTTTAGGCTCTCCTGAAACAGATGTCAGAGAAAAACAAGTAATTATTCATTTAGTAGTTAGAGTATTTCCATTCTTTCTTTAACTGTATTTTCATTGCACATCGACTCTGTGAGGAATATTTCTTTCCCTTTATAATATTTTCACTGTACTTGTCAGTGAAAAATTCTGTGTTGCTCCTGAAGATTTTCAGTGAGCCAGGAAAGGTTGGTATTCTTTACTGTTCATACTTGTACTTCAGGAATCAATAGCTGTGTTAAAAAAATAAAATTAACAAGGAGTGCATAGCACTTTGCAGTCTGTGTATGCAATTGAATTGTATAAGGTAGCACTATAAGAATATGAAGATGTTGAACAGCTACTAAAACCTGCAGCTAATAGAGTTTAAAAATAACCCTTTTAAACAAGGTTGACAGGTTAATTTGCTGCAGTAGACATACCTCTCTTCTCTGCTTCCTTATGTTTCCCCTGCTAGTGATCTTCATTCATCTTCCCATTATCAAAAAAGACAAGATTATAGACCTAGAGAGTTATATGTCTTTTTTTTTTTATTTTATTGAAAAGGTATTTTCTTGAAATGAAATTATTATTCCCATGCTATCTATGTCCTTTCTATCTTCCTTGATTTGATATTCAGAGAGAGGTCATACTGGTGTACTTATAACTCATAATAAAAGCCATTTTCATGTAGTCATTTCTTTTACCTAATACTTTTCTATCTTGCATGTTAAAAATCAGGAAAGGATGTTCCTTGACTTTTTGAGACTGGCATGATGATAATTTCAGAATAATTGGGAAATGTATTTCACAGTCTCAATTGAGTCAAAAAATTAGTTATGGTCTACAGTCGGTAAGGCGAGTTGGTTTATGTCCCCGTGGGCTGTCAGACTCCCACATGGGAATGAAGTCCTCACCTCCGCATGCGATCACACAGTGTGAAATCTCTGGCTGAAGGCTCATACAGAATGATTTCTCCTTCTAGCTTGAGGTTGAGAAGGTGCCTTTTCTCCTGCACAGGGTAGAGACACTGTCTGGCCATAGAGCAGGGAAAAAAACATATTTACTCAGAGATTTCAAGTTCGCATGCAGTGCCACCAGACTGCTTGCAAAGCATGGAAGAATCGGTAACTATCTGGCCCATGGTAATTGCTTGCAGAGGGCAACAGCAGACACTGAAGAAGCAAGCAAGATAGGAAATTTTAAAACACAACCTTCCTGACCCCAGGAAAAATTACATGCAGCTGTGGATGCTGTTTGCCTGCCTATACCTCTGCACCAAGACAAAGTTCAGACCTATATAACCTGTCTGCACACCCCGGGAATTCCTCAGAGGAAGCCAGGATTGCATACCAGCACTGGGCACACAGCAGTTTTACACTCCTCCTTACGCTGACCAGTGCGTTACTGGTCTGCATTCAAGAGCGAACTTCTGCTCTATAATTGGCCCTCTCCCTTTTAGAAAAGGCCTTATGGACCAGTCTAACAAAGCCATTAAATTAGTGCAGGCACTTACGTTGTGGGCCCGGAGTTAAGGTGTTACACATTTGCTGGGCTTCAAACATGTTTATAAGGATTATCATCAAGAGAGATGCTCTCCTGAGCAGCAACTGGGGATAAAATAAATCTGATCAGGTTTTTTTGGTACTATTTTAAGGTAAATCAAAACATTCAAAAAAATCTTCTAACACATGCATCATGTTCCTATTCCTCTACAGACAGGGGATTTTTTCATTATTTAGAACATCACTGTTCATATGGCTGCAATTAAAGTTTCAGCCAGCTTTTGCTACTCTGAGTAATGCCTGTCAGAGCTTTATACCTTGGCTGTTCAAAAGAAGAATAAAAAGAGTTCACAGCATAAAAATCTGGCACACAGGCTTCAGCTGAGGCATTTCTGAACTTTTTTTAATTATTAAAGCAGTATTGTGTTACTTCCTTAGAAGCCATGACCTTAACTTGGCCATCTTTTCCATTTCAGTATTCTTACACGCCATTATCTCTAAGCATTGAAAAAGCCTTTTTTTGGCCTTTTTTTTGTGTTCTTATAGCTACATAGACATGTTAGTAGTACTTGAAAAACAGCTACTAGGCATGCACATTAAATTGGTCATAACTTTTTAATATGCATATTTATATCATTGTAATAGTCTGCACTCTGAGCTGGCACAGTATTAAATACTGATTTATAAAGCGTAACATGTTCCAGAATTACCGTTAAGATCTACTGGTTCAGTGTTACACATTTGTAAATCCTTTCAGCTGACCTGCACAATTAATCAGCAATCTGTGTTTAGGGAGTTCTGGCAGTGCAGGTAATTGGGAATTTGGTTTTCCTCCTCATTCTATAAAACTGTTGTAGGAGGGACCACTAAAATGAGTACATGGCACAAAGAAGAGCCCACCCTTCATCCGCTTATCATTTACAATACAGCTACCTCAGCAAATCTGCCTTTAAAAAGCCTGCTGATTCTAATACCATATAAATAAAGACAGCGACATACAGTGTTTTGAATTTGGAGTGCAAGCATTCAAAATGGGACTTCAATTCTTTAGACTCAAATGTGCTTCATCTGTAATTTGATTCATTTTAGCCCCTAGCTGGCTTGGTTGCAGCCTGAGAGGCACTGAAAGATATACCGCATGGAGTGTTTCTTGGTTGCAGCTTCACATTTAAAACAAATGGTTCTGGTGTCCATTGACTTGTCTCTGCCATAACTGTCTGGCAAGGGATTCCTGCGCTGGGAAGAGGGTCAGCTGGCAGCTCTGCCTCTTACAGCTGATGCTTTCACCCAGCTTTTAACATGCCTGCCCACCTGGGATCAGATCCAGGCTAACTCTTCCCTTCAGCTTTGTTTTTATTATTTTAAGACAGACCTATTCCTACAGCTGAGCAAGCATCTGGGGCCTCCTCAAAGATTTTTATGTTTGTTCTTTAAGTCAGGTCTGTGCTGAAAAGCTTAGCTTCAGAAGGGTGGATGTGAGCACATGGGAAAAAACTTGACATTTGTGGGCAATATGCATTGGGAGCCTGAGGTTTTTCTGTCATGGAACCGCCTCCCAGGAAAAGAGTGGTGCACCTATGCTCAGAGTCCCAAAAAATAACAGTCTTGTAAAAAATGTCAGTTAGTATGAATACATTGCTCTATCTACATCATTTTGAAAGTGCCTTTTACTGCTATGTTTTAGGACAGTCTCTTCCAAATCCTGTTTTTGTATTTCAGAAACAGATGCAGTCTGATCCACACAAGCTGGACTTTGGCCTGAAACCTGAATTTCTGAGCAGGCCACCAGGCCCCAGCCTTTTTGGAGCCATCCACCACCCCCATGACCTGGCCCGGCCCTCGACTCTCTTCTCCACAGCCAGTGAGTACTGAGAAGTGAAATCTCCTCCTTGTGGCACGATCATTAAAATGCTAATCCTTGCCGTGTTGAAAGGAAATTTCCCATATGCTTTGGCTTATGAACTCCCTGCAAGACATGCCACAGGCTATTAGTCCATTTGATAAATATTTTTAAATTATTCTATATGCTTTTAAAAAAGCCCAACCTGCTGAAATGCCATACAGGTAGTAAATGGAGGAACATTTCTTCACACAGTGATATGCAGTGCATCATGGAGATGACAGGTTGGAAATAATCTGTATTTTACATGCTCTTTTTTTTTTTTTCCCATGCTGTAGCATTCCCCAGTGTCCCTTATACTTGTATCTGGGAATTTCTCTTTAGAAAAGCAGCATTTTTGCATAGGATCCTGACCTGAGAGCCCCTATCCAGTATACAGCAATCTCTGCTCATGTGAGCTGATATTTAAGAAATGATAGTCAAGCCCAGAGCACAGTGAGTCCCTTTCTGAGCTTTTGCTAGTAATTCACCTCTTTTGCTTTGTTTTGGCAGGTGGGGGTCATCCAGCCGGCACCCCTTTTGGCCCACCACCTCACCACAGCAACTTTCTCAACCCAGCTGCTCACTTAGGTACGTTCTCTCTGCGCTAACTAACGGTGAATACAACTCAGAGGTAACACACGCTGACCATTGAGACTATTAAAGGTTTCCCACGTGGAGACTGAGTATCCTGCCTATTTAACCTTTACAAATTACTCTTTTTAGTCATTTAATTGTAGCCATTACTCAAGGAGCAGTTCTAAGTACACATGATGGTATCATTGACAGCATGTTTTGAAATACTTCTGAACACAATCTGGACATTAGAGGAGTGGAGTGACAGGACTAGTTAGGTTTTGCTGTAGTCATGTTTATATCCAGTCAAAAAAAATGACTTAATATTAAGGCTTCGGTTCATAGGGGTGTTTCTTTTCCAACTCCTACTTAGATGTCTCCTTTTCATTTAAGGGAGTGGGAAATACATCCTTAAAATCTTGTGATTTGGCCTCAAATGTGTTAGTGAAAATTAGTGAATACACCTTTAAAAATGGAACCACCCAAGTTACCAAATGTCGTTATTTCCTTTCTAACTTACTGATGTTGTAATAAGGTGATCTGCTGCCTACAGGAGCATCTGAGATCAACACTCTAAACTGGCATTTTATTTCGCATAGGGAAGGATTTGGGAGGGTCACCAAATTGATACAGCAGTCCCACAATGTAGGTTTGTCATTCTGCACTGAGCTGCCTGTAGAAGATGCTGGTCTTGGTCTTCCTTTTCTCTGTGCTGCTATTTGTCATAAGTAGTTTCATGAAAATTGTTAAGATTTCTCCAAAATAAAAGTGAGAAGAGAATTTGCTTCATATGACTTACCTATACCCTGTATGCATTAACTACTTATTCCAATATTTTTCAGTCCATACTAGTTTTTTGTATAGTATTAGCAATAAATATCAAGGGAATTACAAAGCATTCAGGACAGCATGACATATCAGTATAATAGTCATTTTATTTATATCCTGGCTATGGTTTAGGAGACATGGCCTGAAAGTACTGGGAGCACATTTGCCAGAGTTAATAATAGTCTTGCTAGCCAGAGACATTTCCTGAGAAATTGATTTGAATTGGGAGGGAATAAAGGACATAAAAACGGAGATGTTTGCAGGTTTTAAATGAAGTAGTTACTTATGCTGAAGTGCAGGCCTCAATACAATGTATATTTTAACATCTTGTTTTTCTTTGAGGAGGAAGTTTTTCTAGTAAGATGATCCCATGCATACTGTCACTGAAAAAACCTACGGGTTTTTATGTCTCACTCCCTCACAATCACCGCTGTGTTGTGGGAGGATGATGTTCAACTCCTGATGGGCACAGACTGAGCTTCCGTGCAGACATAATGCGGTTGGATAACACGCCAATGCTTTATCATAATTACCAACATGTCAGTGAGCTTCAGCTGTTTCTGTTGGTTTGCAGAGCCTTTCAATCGACCGGCTTCCTTCAGCGGTCTCACTGCAGTGGGTAGTAATGCCTTCGGGGGACTCGGGAACCCGACAGTTAGTGAGTAACCTCTTTGTTTATGAATTCTTGTTTGCTGTGTAATCCAGGATTTTGAGTGATGGTGACTGTTTGCTGTCTTTTTTACCCATTGCATAGACCACGTAGCACTAAGAGATGGGAATTTGAAAAGTAACCTTTTTCTTCTAAAAATCAGCATTTTTTAGTCATCGGTAAATTATTTTCTATTAGTTACTTAGTAGTTTGGGTTCAACATAGTGCTAAATGTCACCATTACATTGTTTGGTTAAAAAACAAAACAAAACAAAACAAGACTGTAGAACCTGTGAGTCTAAGGAGTTTGTGAATTTTCTCATGGTTTTCTTGCATGCTCAAAAATAGTTAATGTGTGCAGCACCCCTAGCTGTGGATGGGAACATTTTTCGTTTTCCTTTCTCACCAGTAATCCAGGACATGTGCCTGATAAAAATCAGTAACCTACATTTATTTGTCCAGGATCATGAACATTTCTCTAGATTTGGCCAGTCACAAAAGATCATCCTTTTAAAAATCACTCTTCATACTTCAAATCTGGCATGATTTTGGTCGCACACTATTTTGCTTTGGTTCAGGATCAAATGCAACAAGTTCCATTATTTATAGTCCATATAATGGTCATTTTCTGATGTCTCCAAAATATTTGAAATAAGGATCATTGTCACTTTTATCTTACTATGCCATCCCTTGTCAATTTTATCCACAGCATTTCCCTTTCCAATTAAAACAGCTGTCAGATGCCTGCCCATTTTTAGGAATGAGACCCTCTAATGAATCTCTGTTAATTTCCTTTCCTTTTCCAGCTCCCAATAATATGTATTCATTTTAACTCTGAGTGCTGTAAAAGTTTTTTTGGTAAGTACCTTCACTAGAGCATACCTTTTTCTTAAACCTTTTTGTTTTCCACTTCACCATTTCAGCACCCAACTCAATGTTCGGCCACAAGGATGGCCCCAGTATGCAGAGCTTTAGCAACCCTCACGAGCCCTGGAACCGACTGCACCGAACTCCTCCTTCGTTCCCGACCCCTCCGCCCTGGCTGAAGCCAGGAGAGCTGGAGCGCAGTTCATCTGCTGCAGCTCATGACAGAGATAGAGATGTAGATAAACGAGACTCATCTGTTAGTAAAGATGACAAAGAAAGGTACGAAAGAACACTTCCAAGAATTGTCTAGTTCAAAGCTTGGGGCTCTGTTCCGCTTTTAACCCTTCCCAGCCTGGCACATTGTTAAACCAGAGCTTCAGTAGAGGGACACCTGGGGAGCTGACATCATTGCTGCCTGTGACACGAGGCACTACAGAAGATGCAGGTTTCTAACTTGGGTGTTTCCTACTACATCTGTTTCTCTTCTCACTTGCACCACACTTCATCAGGAGCTTTGCTGAAGCAGAGTTCAGGCAGTGCCAAGTGAGAATAGAATCAGACCCACACACTCTGTTACCTTGTGGGTCACACTGCCATAGGTCTTTTGAAGACTTAGTGTGGAGATAGGTGCCTGACAGGATAAAAAAAAAAAAAAAGGATTATAAAGTCCATCAGACGCATATCTGCACCTTTGAATACCTAAATAACTTTGTAAATCAGACCTTGTCTGCAAAACAAATAACGCAACCTCCCTTTACAAAAAGGGACCGACCAGAGGGACCACTGATAAAGTTGTAAAATTCTAACAGTGTAAAATGCACAAGGTATGTCATGTCCCAATACCACAGTACGTTTCAGTGCATGCAGTTCATTAAACGAACCTTAATTTCCCACAAAAAAAAAAGCCACACACACATGCACTGCTGTTACACACCTTCAAGCACAGTTTTTATTCGGTGTTTTACATGGACTTGCACGCTAACATGTCCAGGCTGGGAAGGGTTAATGGAAAGTAAAACCTGGTCATATTTTTTTTGTCAGGACTGTTCCCATTATACAGTTAACTCAGTAACAATTCCTCTTAACATTTAAGTACCAAATTATAAGAATTTGCCATTCAGCAAGTGTCATGCCTTCCTTGAAAAATGTAGAGAGGCTGATTTCAGCTTTTTCAGTTGTGGCTTAATGGCTTTCCTGTTAAGTTTGCACATTACTTTACTACATAATGGCTATTTGTTTCTAACTTTTTAGCATAAAAGAATATTTAGGAGATGTGCTTTTCTGACTTCTCTGTCACTAACCCAATTATACGCATTAGTAGCCTTTTCTAAAAGAAGTTATGCTAACACATTAGATATTCTAAAAATACATTTAAGAGCTTTTCTATGTTGTTGTAAAATGTGAAGAGTAAGTCAAACTACAGATCTTTTCACCTACATTTTCCATTTGGAATATTTTCTGTTTGGTAGCATAGCTTCATTATTTTCATGTCTGGTGTTAATGCTTAAAAATAAATTGCTGTTACAAATTGGGGATTCTGTCCTGCAAAATGCTTAAGCATGTGAGTAACTTTACTGGCTTGAATGGCAAAGTGTTTTAGTTACTAATGATACGGGTAGTCTTTAGAATTATGTGATTATTTCAGTTGCTGTTTTGTTGTTTTCTTATGAAGTGTTCCTGCTGAAGAAAATCCCTTTCCGAAATACATTCCTTGCAAGCTGCTTTGGCATTGCCTGAACTCCATATCATAGCTCAGAACATATTTATTTTCAATATTTTGAGAGCTTAAAAGTAAGCGTCATTCATACTTCATACTTCTGCACAATTACGGCTACCGGTTTAGTACAATCACGTTTTCACCAATCTAGTGTTGCTGTGCATCCATCTGTGTGGTTTTGAAGAGTTCTGCTTTGCAGCATGCTCACACTGTTGCCTGTATGAGAAGATGCTGAGAATCCCTTCCTGGAGACGTGCTCCCTGTGTAGATAATGTCTGGAGTAGTTTGTGAGCCCCTTACACCTGTTCGTTCGTCTTCAGTGGCACCCAGCGGGGTGAGGACGTAGCCCTGCTTTGTAGTTGAGGTCCCAATCTCTGTTCCCTATTCTAAGCTAATTTGCCCAAACAGGAAGAACTGGGAATCGCACCTGGAGGGATGATCTCATCTCAAAAGCATCTAAGATCAGTGTTAGAGTGGGGTGCCATGAATCACTGGTCGCTCTTGGATAAACTGTATGGCCGGTGTAGTGCAGCCCCCTCCCAGCTAGACTGAGATAAGGTAAATCCCTCAAGATAGCTTAGATGATGTGAAACTACAGTCTGTGAACCCTGCCTAAGTGCAGAGCTGGCTGGGGAGTTACACTGCAGTGTCCTGTTACAGTCCCCTTTCTCCTGGAATGTCAGTTGCAGTTGTGGAGGTTTTTTTGGTTCAAGGAGTCTCTTATTCCAGTCCAGCATTAAGGAGAAATCAGTAAAAATAGCTATTGTGAACAATAGGATTTGTTCCTTCTCAGTGGTATTTTGTTTAAAAGATGTCACTGAGTAATTGCATTCTAATGATGATGTTTAAGTGTATGTTATCCTAAAACATTAAAAAAAACCCACCCAAGAATCTACTGATCTTTTTTATAGACATAAACGAGGCAAAGTACTTAGCATAAGATACTCAGTATCTTTCACTGTAGTACACAGCCTCAAAACATAACTTACTTAGTCATAAGTTCATTTGAGAACATGATGTTAAGTTTCTTCTTCGTGGAGACAGAGGCTTAGAGCTGTTCCCATATTATTAACCTAAGGAGCCCTTGACAAATCTGAGGATAAAAAATTGTTCCCTCTCTGACCACTGAACTACATGTAGTTCACTTAAGTGAGCTGTATAATCAATAGCCTCTTGAGATAATACCATTGCTGTAATTGAATAGGATGAAATTGGCAAAGGAATATGTTATTTTGGTTGCACATATTTTTAGTTACAGAAAATTCCCGTTATTTTCTCTAAATTTTATGCATAATTTAAAATACATCAATTACATAGAACATTGATTAAATATCAGCAACAGGACTCAATGAGCTCTCCTAGTGAATAAAAAAGAGTTTTAAGGGTGCCCTCTGAGCTAGTCTCATGAGCAGACTAAATAAGAGACTGTGTGTTGCAGAGTCCCCAAGCCAGTGCTTTCCCAGCAATATAAAAGAATTGAGTCTTGATTGCTGAGAAGCCATTATTGGAGTGCCTTGACTTGGTCTCACTGTGTCCAAATCTGGAAGCTGTTAAATATCTCAACTTTTGGTGGAAAGCAAGAGGAGAGAAATTATTGCCAGGACACAATTTCCAGACTGTTTAGGGCACAGTCAATCAAAGTAGAACCTGATACCAAGGAGATAATTGGTAGTCAGTGCAGAATAGGCAGTTCTGGTATCAAATGCTCCATCTTACACATGTTTTCTAACAGTCATATTCTGGACTCTTGGAGGTCTCTCAGACACAGCCCATAAAACAACAGTTTCAACAATTCAGTCTAGACACAGCAAATGATACATCTGGTGAGATTATAGTAATGAGAATTTACTTTTCAAAGATATTTTTGCTGCAGTTTCACCACCCAAAAGTACCAAGAGGTAGAAATCACACACAGTTCAGCTCAGCAAAAAAGTAGGTAGAAGAAACTGTAGAGGTGAAGGAGCAAGTGTCCACTTCAGAGTCGCTCTCCCAGTTGCCCTTCACCCAGCCAATATTGCTTATCTAGTACAGAGTGAGTTTGAATCTGCTGTCCTCATCCGAGCATGTTCAGGTTACACATTGCTAGGCAGAGACTGCAGCACCCAAAGAGAAACCATGTAAACTGGAGCTGGTTGGAACTTCAGAGAGCCTCACTGCTCATCCCTCACTATGGCCTTTAACAGCACATTGTCCATCAGTGTTCCCTGCATGGAACAGAATTTCCCTGCTCAGCAAACAGGATGTGTCCAACACTGAATATGTGGAGCTGTCTTTACAGAGAGACTCCAACTCAGAGATCAACTGAAATTAGTGAGAGGTTAAAATCATTGGAACGGAGGAATTAGATTTACCTTATGAATTTGATTCATTTTAAATAGCAAAGCTTTTTCATTTAGTGTTGCCCATAACAACTTCTTGTCAACACTGCTTCCAGAAAATAATTGGTACAGAATCCTGTCACATATTTAGTTTTTTGTCCACTTCCAGACAATAAATCTTTAATCTTTTGTACAACATAAATAGGTTTGAAAGATGGAACAAATACACTATTCTGAGACTTCTAGCATTGGCAGGGAGATGTATTCACCCTGTCCCTTCCTGCTTACTCTGCCCTAAAAATGGGAAAGAGTCGGTAATCTGAAGAGCAACTGACTCCAGAAAGATGATGTTTTCAGAGCTAGCCTGAATGATGCACGTATAGGGCAGACTGATCTCTGCTGAGGAAGCCAATATATAATTTATACGTGATGGCTGCCTCTATTAAAACACACTGAGTGTCACTACACACTTAGAGAAGTGCCTACTTGTTCAGAGAGGTGGATTGTAACCTTCAGTACTGGTGTCTTGAGAGGTTTTTGTTTTCAGTTTTAAGAGTAAATTGAATTGTGAGAAGCAAATTGAAAAGCTAGAAGATTGAAGAGAATAGAGATAATAAATTAGGAACATACATAGGTCTAGAAATGTTTTTAAAAGTCAGTTGAACAAAATGTCGTCTATGTTCCCAAATGTATTTTAATAGAAGCAGCAGGTAAAATGCTATTAACCATGTAATTTGGATTTTATTGTCTCACTTTTTGAATGAAATTAGTATGTTTTTATTTTTCCCTCCCTTCTTTGCAATTAAGGCCATTGTCTTAGAAATACATGTACTAGAGCTATATTCCCTTGGGAGCCTTCAATGGACTTCAGTGTTTGAAATCTCAATCAGATCATTCACAAAGCAGCTTCAGGGACCTTCTTCTTCTCAGCTGAGACCATAGAATAGGCCTAGTTTAGAGATGGAATGTTCTTCTGGTGTATCGAATGTGCAAAAGAAACAGTGCATTAAATGGTGCATGTTACTAGCTTTCTGCAAAGCAGTGACTATAAAGTCAGGCAGCCTAGATGCTTTGTTTTATTTGCAGAGTTTCTCATGCCTTCATTTTTACACTTCTCTTTCTTCTAGGGAGAGCATTGAGAAAAGACACTCCAGCCATCCTTCGCCAGCACCTATCCATCCAGTAAACTCCCTCGGACATAATCGCAGCTCAAGTGAGCAGATCAGGAGCCATCTGAATCCCGAGGTTCGAGAAAAAGAGAAACCCAAAGAACGAGAGAGGGATCACTCCGAATCTCGGAAGGAAATTAATGTTGAAGAGCACAAGGTGAAGGACAACTACATTTCGGAGAAAGAAGGCCTGAGCCATGAAAGCCGAGTGGTGGAAGAGTCTAAGCAAATGCCCAGGGTTCCTTCACCCTATGCTAGGCCCCCCGTTGTGGAGAGCACCAGGCCTAATAGTACTTCAAACCGTGAGGCCGAGAGGAAGAACGAGCCGGCGTATGATAATCCGAAGAAAAGCAATGAAGTCAAAGTGAAGGAGGAGCGAAAGGAAGACCATGATGTTCAACCTGAGGGACCTCAGACTCATAGGTCATCTGATCAGCCACCACCTATATCTACATCTAACGTCCATCCAAGTCCTTTAGTGTCTATGCCCATGACTGTAGGTGTAACTGGTATACATCACATGAACAGCATCAGTGGTCTGGATAGGACTCGCATGATGACCCCTTTTATGGGAATTAGCCCAATTCCTGGTGGAGAACGTTTCCCTTATCCTTCTTTCCACTGGGATCCAATGAGAGATCCCTTAAGAGATCCATACAGAGAGCTAGATATTCATCGGAGAGACCCCCTGGGCAGAGACTTTTTGCTAAGAAATGACCCCCTTCATCGTCTTTCTACACCAAGATTATATGAAGCAGACAGGTCATTCAGGGATCGGGAACCTCACGACTACAATCACCACCACCATCACCACCACCCTCTCTCTGTTGACCCTCGACGTGAGCATGAGAGGGGCAACCACTTGGATGATCGGGAGCGGTTGCACATGCTCAGAGAGGACTATGAACATGCACGCCTGCACTCAGTTCACCCTGCCGCCTTGGATGGGCACCTGCCTCACCCAAGCCTAATCACACCAGGACTTCCTAGCATGCACTACCCCAGAGTCAGTCCCCCGACAGGACACCAAAATGGCATCCTCAATAAAACTCCCCCCACAGCAGCTCTCAGTGCCCCTCCACCACTTATTTCTACACTGGGACCTCGGCCTGGGTCTCCCAGAAGGACTACTCCTCTGTCAACAGAGATGAGAGAGAGGCCTCCTTCTCACACCCTCAAGGACATCGAAGCTCGATAAGCAGAGTGAGACTAAATAAAAACCAGAGAAAGAGGGACAGAACATTGTAAATGAACATAATATAAAGACCTTCTTACAGGTCATTGATACAGACTGGGGATGTGACCCACTGTACAATATGTATAGACCTGAGTGCAAAGATTTTGAAATTTTTTTTTTGTATATTATATGTTGAAATTTTCCAGATCTTTTAGCCAAGTCCATATGTTCCTCGTGTCTCCTACTCTGTTTTATTTCTAGTTTTAAAATTTCAAAATTTGAACTGAAGAATAAGACATTAATCTCAACGATTTGACTAGAAACAAAGCACCACCAATGTCAACCATACAAAACTCTTTCAGACCAGAAGTGAAGACAATTGTAGATATTTATGTAAAAAGATTGCTTCATGGGTTAATGGTTCATATATGCAAAAAGGGTAAGATGAAAGCTTTACTTTGTACAAATGTAAATAGATAAAATTAAGTAACATAATACATTAATACTTCTTAAACTGTGCTATTTGCAAACTTAATATTGATCAACACAGTCTGCTTATGCTGTGTTACATATATTGTTATAGACAGCTAAACCCCTTCAACTATGCAATGAATTTTAAGGCTTTTCACAAAAGCCTTTATAACTCAAAGGAGCCTTTTCAACACACAACATAATTAAAGTCATATTTTCCCTGAACAAGCTCATCTATAATAGAAACCTATTTCTCTTGCTTGTTTTGAAGAAACAGCCCGTTAGAAATGTAGTTTTCTGTCTGAACCCCTGCATCAAGATGCTGATGTTACTGTAGCTCATGTATTCCTTAGAATGCGTCAGGGTTAGCAGTCTGTAATCACTGATACTGTAGTCATGACAGATCGGTTTTCAGTCACATTAATCTGGGTTAAACAGAGTAATAATCAAATACTGGATATTTTCCAGAACTTTTGTCACTTAACATGTCAGATTTATTTTTGGAAGAACATCTGCTTATAGCCATTCATGTCTGTTTTTATTGCCAGTGTGTCATTTTTATCTGTACACACTTCTTTTTTTGTTAAGTGATTTTTAGCTACATTGAAACAAATCCTACGAGAAAGCTAATACTTTTCTAAATGATGGATATGTTTTCACTGTGGATGAGTAGTTTAATTAATGAACTCCGATGCAGATTTCATAATGCAATTTATTGTATATCAGTTGGTAATAAAGTCTGTGAATAGTTAACAGGTCAGCCTTGTTGTTCCCTAATCATAGAAGACATGAAATAACATGAAGAACATGGTCCTTTTTAAAAATATGCATCAATCTTCTGAAATCTGTCTTTTCATAACACACTTTTTTATAATGCGTTAAGTTTCTTGTCTAAATATTTGGAGAGAATATGACTTTATCAGAGAGAATTCAATATCTTGTCTACTGGACTGTAAAATATATGTATGAAATAAAATTAGTTCCATTGGTCTTCTAGTGTATTAAAGTGCTATCTGAAGTTGTTATCCTGTTTTGGCAAAAAAAAAAAAAAAAAAGAAAGAAAAAAGTTAACTACAGACAGTTGTTTCTAATGATCAGAGATCTATTTTAGTAGTCAACTGAAGGTTTAGTTGTGAGCTTCAGATTTTGTGAACTCCAGATGTTGTGCAGTGGTTTTTTTTTTTTAAGAACAAAAGGAAAAGTACAAAAAAACCCCAACCCTGAGGAATATGTACACTGGAACCGTAGTGGTAGCTTTCAGTATTGTAAAGAGATTGTTATATACGAACCTTTTTGCTGTTTATCCTGTATGTAATAAAGTCCTTTCTAGATCCTATGTGAAAAGAAAAGTGAAGCGGCTCTCAATCTTCAGCATGTTTCCTCATCAGCGAAGACTTGTGTAATGTAAATTGTGCCATGTTATTAAAAAATGTGAACTAAACTGCTAGGTGCTTCTTTGTGTGGAGTACCCCATCATTGCTATGGGGAAGAAATGCTTTTTCCCAAGAGTGGGGTTTTGTTCAGAAGAAATAGCTATCAAAAATGTAAAGGAAATGGCAAACTTTTATAAGCCATCTTACTAAAATGATTATAGTAATCAGGAAAAAAAGGACAAAAAGGACACCAGATTCTTGGCTTGACTAAATTCTTTAAAATATAGTAACACCCTACTTACCTCAGATTTTAGTTAACTGACCAGTTGGTCTTTCAGGATAGTCCCATACTTAAGTATGTGGCTGTATGCAAGCCCTTCTGTGAATTTGTGCAGTTCCATACAGCCAATGGTATTTTGCCAGTTTTCATCAGTTAAAGATACGGCTCTCAGTTTCTATGAACAATTTGTACATAAATACGTTCAATTTCCTGCAAATTGTTTAGTACAGATCTTCATAGTACAGCTTTTGTGGTGGTCTCTTTTGAAAAAAACAAAAAATTAGGTCCTCATGATAACAATTTCCGGGAGGGTGTTTTTTAGTCCAGGTTTTGGTGGTTTGTTTGGGTTTTTTTTTTTTTTTGGGGGGGGGGGGTTATAAGCGTGTTGCAAACACTTCAAAACCTTTATTCAAGTTACTTTGGCAGAGGTAACTTGTGACACCGAAATGTGCTTTCTTGAGCAAGATAGATCTTTCTTCTCCCTCAGTAATTGCCAGTTTTGATATAAGCAATTAAATATGCAGCCATATAGCCAAGTTTTGTTGTTTCTTCAGCCCTGTAGCACTTCTGTCTGTATTCTACTATTTCTCCCATGTAAACCTGATGAGAGTGAAATTTCCCTGAATTTCAACCATGTAACTTAGAGAATAACCCTATGTCTTTTTTAAAAAATCCAATTTTGTGCAAGCTGTGCAGGATGTACAATAGTAGCATAATGTGGAAGAAGAACCTTTTTCTGTGAGGAGCCCACATCTTGGTCTTCTGGATGCACATGATTAAAAACTTCCAAGTTTCTGAAGGAATCCAGTTATGGCTGTAGAAGCCTGAAAACCATTGGAGCAAGCTTGCACAGGTAGAGTGTGAGGGGCCCCGTGAGAGAGGGACTACTGAGAGCATCATCTTTCAGGCTCATCTCAGAGCGCTGTAATAGGAGTCCTAACAGCTTTGTCAGTGTCTTCAGGGGGAAGAAATATGGTACCTGATTGTACAGACTATGATCCTTGTCCTCCCAGGTGCTGAGCATACTCCTGCTGATGGTCTTTAATTCCCAGTCAAGCCAATGAACCCTCACTCCCAGAGTCCCAGAAAGTATTGAGGCATTTCACTCCCTTTGAATTCAATACAAGTGGCTATACACCTTTGAAAATCTGGGTGACAGGTTTTTTTCTGTAAGAGTGGTGATTCTCAGAGGGATATGCCTGAAAGGTATAGTAAGAGATGAAATAAGATTTTTAATGCTTTTAAACTTTCAGATGCATTCACTGCTTTTCAGAAGTTTGCTATAGGGATGTTAGCTTTCAGGTATAGACAATTTAATCTTTTTAGCAGGGTTTTCTAATCAAAACTTGTCTTAAATCTATTTTTTAATCACTAGTATTTAGGAAATGAAGTTAATTTAAAGACCATGCCAAATACCTCCTGTAATAAGGGTATTATTCTGTAGTGTGTGAGAGATATGGATCATAGAAAACCTGAGCTACTATGCTTACGACATCCAGGACCTTTGGATTATGCTTTAAAACTCACACCTTCCTGTGCTCCAACTAGTTTTCTACTTATCAGCTTCCTATCACCAGCTGAGATGCCAACTAAAGCAGTGTATAAGAAGAGATTCTCTGAAATCAGCCATAACATTTGTTCCCTGATACAATGCCCCTTCTTTTTTAACTTTCTATACGGTCTTCTTTGTTTTTCCTTACTACATACCTAGCTCTACCTGATTTTCTGCTCATCATCATACTTTACTGATACTCTCTCGCCTTTTTGCCAGTCATATTTCATGTCTTATAATAGCTAAATCTATTATAGGCAGCAATAAACACTGCAGACAAATTTTTCCATAGACACTGTATACTTTTGTTCCTTTGCCTGTATGAGCTCGTGAAAATTTGTAGTGGTTGCTGGACTGGAAGGTAGGCAAATGGAGGTGGGGGAGAGTTTTTCTGAAAGTGTTTTCAGTTGCTGTGGCTGTGCCTTGTTAAGTAAGTATTTAGCATGAGTCTTGATAATTTGAACTAACTACTGCTTCACACGTGCAGGTGACCTGCTGAAAGCCAGGGGCACGGGAACAAGGTAACAGATCATGGGTTATATTCCATTTACAGAGTTGCTACTTGGCTTGCTGCTTTTGTTTCTGGCAAGAAAGGTGAGCTGTGGTTCAGTGACGAAAGACAAATTATACAGGGTTCTGTTACTCCCACAGTTAAGTCTCAAACTTCCTTCTTTGGACTCCAACTGCCATCTTGGAGGCATAGCTCATCCATAGCTTCAGAAGGCGATTTGGAGCAGGAGCCCAAGATAAACGGTCTGAATTGCCTTTTGAAAGTGACTCTTCCCTAACTCCAGATGGAAACTAGCCTCTAACTTAGCTGGTTCAGAGAAATACATGAGAATGAGTGGTGGGGACTACCTCCTCCCTTGTTGATTTTACAGTCTCATCAGATCTTCCTTCCTTCCTTCCTTTGCACTGTAAAGTACCAATCTTAGCCATTCCTTATGGGAAGCTCTTTGGGAACACTGTCTTACTACATTATTGCACTGTGTTTGCTGCCCTGGCTGGGGTAAGTGAGCATTTCTCAGTGCTGCTATAATAATATATATATATATTTGGTAGTACTAGAGACCAAAGTGAAAACTGAAGGCCTCAGCGAGTTAGCCATGGTAAGCACTATAAAAGATTCCAGATTTTTGCTAACCACGAAGAAACAAAGCTGCAGGTGAGGGCAGACTGTTCTCCCTGCGTCCTGTCTCCATCTGGAGGGGCTTAGACTGCTTGTGGCCATGGGCAGGGTGGAGGTTCACAGCTGGCAATGCCTCCGAGTGCTTATTGTGGAGTTGGCAGACAGTTTCCAGCATGACCCCTTTCTGCCAGCTGTGTGGTTGGGGGTAACAAACTTTTTTTTTTTTTTTTCCCCACAGGTATCTTGCAACTAAAAAAACTTTAGCACAAAGACATTTCCTGGTCATAAAGAATATCCCCCTCATTTGTGCACTGTTTGTCTGCATATAGAAACACATGTATAGATACATCAAGATGCACACACAATGTCAGGTGCAATGTCACAGGGATGAAGGTCTATGCAGCAAGGAGCAGAGTATGAAATCATGATGGCATCCTACAGTCTCACATCCTTTTTGCTGCTTTCTGCTGAGGCCTTTCCTGTGGATTGCATTTGATGTTCCCTCTGCTGGCCTGATAATACAGACTTCACTATACCATTATCTCCATTTTATAAATGGGAAAAGTGCAGCTGGGAACACTGCCACCAGCGTAATACCAGCCACCTACTGCCTGAGTCATCCCAGGAGTCACCCAGGGGAACTAGGTTACTGCCTTTCTCACCACGAGAACAAAAAAAACCCTGAATCAGGTAAATTGCAGAGTCAGTGGTGGTAATAAATGAGGAATTTCTGGGTTGCTGATTGTCTATAGGAAATACTTTTAACCCTAACCCATGTTAACAACTTTCTGAAGTCTAGATTTGCTAAATTTTTTCTATTGAATAATACATTTACTTATTTATTGATAATTCAAGTACCTCAAGTACTGACCCAAGTTGATAAGGCCTGTGGTCTTTCTGGTTATTGAAAGCAGATTTGCTGTATTTTGCCACCTGGTGTGGCTTGTTTAATCGTCACTATTGCTCATTATTGAAACTCACTCAGAGCATAGTATTTTTATTGGTTGGATTTGTATGTTTCTCTACTGAAAAACTTGCATTCAGCCCTAGGAACCTAGCCATCCACCCCCAGTACAATCATCTTTGTTTCAAGACAATAAAATAATTATTCAAGAACTTGATCAATTGATTAAATAAAGACTTTACCTATATACAATATTACTGTATATTGATGAAATGCATCTTCTGCTTTGCATCTTCAAAGTCTTAACTAGTTTCTGTTGAAACAGTGATGAGGGTTTTTTTGATGCAGCAGAGATTGCATTAGCATCAAAAGCTTGGAAATAATTTGTTGTTGGGTTTTTTTTCCTTTTAAAGACATGTGGAATACAAGTATGAACTTCCTGGGATTTTCAGTTGTTCCTATTTTTGAAGGGCATCAGTGTACTTAAGGCAAACATGGAGCTCATTTGATTAAATAAAAAACCCAGCTGTAAAACAACCACGAGCTACTTGCCCTCCAAAAGGAAAGTTTTGTCTCAGTTAGTACTCAAATGGCCAAGTAGAGCTGGATTTATTTTAGCCTGCTAGAAAAGGCTGTCGTTCTTCAGAGATACCACAAGAGGGTAGTTAAAGAGAGACTGAAATATGTGTAGGCTGATGGGATGGCTATGCTGTTTCATGCAAGGTGAATGTAGCTGTAAATTATTTTTATGAGATTCTGATCTGTGAGGAGCTCTCCTGTTGCCCTGCATAAACGACAGAAATCTCAACGGTGCTGTGGCAGGCAGTGATCAGGTTGACTAAGGAGTGACCTTGCTTTATCACATTTCATAGAGGGACTAGAAGTGGTCCATGCTCAGAGCATTCAGCTAGATAAAGGCAATCATATTTTGGAGAGTTAGGCTTAAATTGCATGGTGC